CTCTTCATTTGAAACGTGGCAAGGTAACTAATGATGGCTCGGTCAAGTTACAAGCGGGAGGAGTTATTGAGCATCTTATGGAAGATCAGGCCTACACCTATCTTGGAATGCAAGTTCGAGACAAGAAAATCTGGAGTTCAGAGCTAAATGCTCGAAACAAGGTCAAAGCCACCAATACATTTGCTGTGCCAGTCCCTTCCTATTCCTTTGGAGTAGTTGATTGGACAAAACAAGACATTGTTGGGTACCTCCCCTGATCTCTTTGGCGCAGATCAGGAGAGTGCCCTTTGTTCTCCACCGGGAGTACAGCCCTTCTGACACTCCGGGTAATGCAGAAGGCTGCAGTGTTGGGGAGCCTTCATATTCTCCGGAAAGTTCTTGGTGGGTTCGACTAGGCAGCGTTTCCTGGGAGAAGTCCCATTCGCTGTCTGGGATGCGTGTAGAGGGCAAGGGCCCTGCGCTGATGATGAGCCTTACCAGCCTGGCTGTGCCAGGATCACCCGAGCCCTCTCTGCTGCATACTATCTTTAATCTGTATAACACAAACAATGAAAACAGTACAACCACTTTTCTTCGTGTGCAGAACCTCTGGTCAAGCGTTAGTATATTTCTTTTTTTCCGGTGTGACGAAATGAAATAAGAACAATTTCTTGCGGCTGAAACAAAACCCAGATTGCCCTCGGAATTTGCTCTTAATCTTGACCAATTCGTTCAAAGAGAGACGAATGTTTCGTGTCTCTGAAATGAATGTCTTTTCAGCGTGTTTTGTTGTCAAATCAACTTCCAAAATATCAAGGAATGTAATCCGGAGCCTCTCATTTTCATTTGTAACTGAAGCTATTGAGACCTGTCTATGTCTGTTGGACCTAGGGTTGAAGGGATGTGCATTTGTGGTGTCCCCCGCTGTGATATCGCTGGAATATTGCCAAAAGCGGCGTAAAACTAGACACTCACTCACTCACACACTCACGGTATGTGTTCGTGGTTTCCTCAAATCGAGATATATCTGCAAACAATACAGCACAAGTATATATTTTACGAACGTTTCTCAAATTACAAGTGAGCGAGTAAGTTTAGTTTTACGCCGCTATATTGGAAGTATGTCCCAGCAATATCACGGCGGGAGACACCAGAAGTGGGCTTCACATATTGTACCCATGTGGGGAATCGAACCCGGGTCTTCGGCGTGACTCTTTTACCACTAGGCTACCCCGGCAAATTACAAAGACTATTGAGTTGACGAATGCAGAGATTGAGATGCGAGGAGTCCTGTTTATCATGGCATCATCGTAGTGCACAACCGCAGTTGGTGGGTGAGTGAGTGAGTGGGTGCACTTACGTTTTTGTAAGTATATCAGATACTTCGATAGCCATTGTTACGGTGGAAACGGGTAACAAAACGAACCAAAAATCAAAACCTTTCGAGTCCATGACAAGAAACTGGTGACTGAGGGCATGAGCAAATGTCTACACCATCGGATCCACACAATCAGTTACGTCGGTCTGACCACCCAATCCCCAGCCGGTTCAAATGACAAGCATGGTACAGTGTAGACTAACTGTGTATCAGACACTATACAAGTACTGTATAAGGTACTCTCCGTCCAAAACATACACAGTCAGGCAACATGTCCGTAAAGCGAAGGGTCCGGAATAACGAGTTACAGATTAACCAAGTATTGCTGTTTCTATTCGCGCGTTAATGGAGTGAGAAAATCATCGTAAAAGTGTCGTTCAAACAAGCATGTAGGAGTTGCGCCCTTTGATAGCACAACTACCTGAGTGGCATTTGGAACTTGGTGCTACGGACAAGGGGGTACTTACGTCTGTAGATAGGCAACTATATCCACAGAACTATCCCTGTTGTTCCTTTGGTAGCATCCCCGGCCAAACGATAGGAACCGGTTCTAGGATAGAAATACGTTAAAGAAGCTCTGCCAGTTGTGGATGGGTTAAAATGTAACAATGCATTTTAACAGTGTATATAACCACTTGGGCGTGTGTGTTATGCTGTTTGTGAGAGTAATGGATCAATCAACGAATGTCTTAATATCCTCCTGATAAGTGCAAGGAGTCTTATAACATCATGACTTAATAAAATAATTATATAACAAATTATTCATATATATTTATAAAAATATCGGAACGCTCTCCTCAGTATATACAGGCTAAGTAAAGACGTTGTCCAGGATATCCTTTAGTTTATACAACTACTTCGAGAATTCTACAATTATTACTTTGTTCCATCAATGTCCATGTTATCTGCACCCTGAGAGAATGCTAACATGTCATGCTCGTCCGTTATCTCTTTCTAAACATACATTTCAACATCAAGATTATAAGTTACCGTAGAAAAGAGCATAGCTCGGTCGGAGTGACTGAGTGAGTTTAGTTTTACGTCGCACTCAGCAATATTCCAGCTAGATGGCGGCGATGTCGCTGTGAGAGTACATGTTGACGGAACAGAATACAGAATGACATGGTGATGAAAGATATTATATTCCATGGTCAGCAGGAACTGTACTTGTTCTGGTATAAAACAAAACCATTAAATCATAGTCTAATATTTGTTTTAATCTATCTTTGACTATATTTACAATGTCCTAAATTCTAACTTTCTAATTCGCTAAACTTCCATTACAAAATCACCCAAATGGGTACTACTGACTAACAATCTCTTGGCCTGCTACGTAATCAATGTATCGAAACGAACTGACCATAATTTCACATCATACCGCACGCAAAACGTGTGCTTTTGCATGCTCGAGAAGCTTTCCGTGAAACAAATTGTTGTATGGTGTGTTTTCCCGAACCGTTTCGCATGTACACCAACTAAAACCTTAGACCAAGTCAGGGAACAGTGCAGTGAATAAGTACAATGAATATATATAATAATGGATAAACAATACAATTGTGTGGACAATACTTTGTCCATTCCTTGTTCTTCAACACAGTTCTATGCCCCAAACGCTCTCATAGTTGTTTCTATTGATGTTCTATTTATATTCCAAGTTCGTTTTTGTTATTGCAATTTTCACTTCAAATTGGTATTCGAAAACCTTCCATCTCATTATGTACACATGAGGTCAAACTAAGTTAAGAATATATATGTGTGAGGTGTATGCGGAAGAAATCAGGCACATAAGATGGTATGTATGGGAAGGTTTGTGCATCATCTTATACAGCTAGCTTTCCATAAGTTTAAAATTTTAAAGAGATTATACCTTTCCTGGTCAAGGCAAAATGAATATAAAAGCAATATACAAAAACCTTAAAGGTTAGCACAAGTGATACACTCGTACTACGCTCAATGTAATACTAGACACCTGTTTTAAACTGTCCAAACTAGATATATAAATACAGATTACTCTGTTTCATTAGATTGATGAAATTATAAGTAAATAGTTGTCACACATGTTTACATATTACTACCATTGAAACAGTGAAGAAATCTGGTGTATACACGCAAATAAAGATACATGCACATATAATGAAATCAAACGATGCAACGAAAAAAGCTAATGTAAAAATAACGTTTTTGAAAGATAAAGTCTGTTTCAACATTTGTATGTCACCATGGTTACTGTTTCTGATGATTTTAGATAATATTATGAACTACATCTGGGTACTTGGAATCATGTTTCGAACTGAATTTATTCCAAGTAGAATAAACCTTGTTTGTTTGGCAAAGATCTAAAATATATAACCTATATACATTTAAATATATGTGACAATAGAAGCACTATAAGAAAGTAGAACAAAATTGACAAATTCATGCTATAGGTTATTGAACACATGTGAGATGATCTCACATGTCCATTTTTCAAAACCGAGCGGATCTGTTACATTTCTACATCATTTCGATAATTGGAGAGGTGAAATGGGTTTTAATGTTCCATTCAAGATTGTTTCACTCCTATAACACACAAGTTTGTCTGCTTGTTCTAAAAATAGCCACCAAAGCATGAAATACATTTTTTTTTAAACAAAAGCAACCTTCACGGTCAACTATCGAAAACTAGTTGAGATACTAATAGTATCTAAATACCCAATAGACTCACAACTCCCTCCCCTCCTACAACAGCAAGCTATATCGGGGTTATTTGGGAGGTGGATGACTCCTCATGTAATACAAGCCAGTATTCCTGTGAGTATGGTTTGATAATTCATACGACTACAAATACTATAAGAAAAATGTCCAGTATGACGATACACTGCGAATAAAACAATTCACAATTCCCGATACCTGCAAGAGATACTTCAATGGTCACTAGGAACGTTAAACAGCTAAAATGTTCCAAGTTGGGAATAAACGTCAATGAGCCATTGACGCATGGTTCTACTGAGAACGTGAGAACGACTTTGGTGTAGGCAGATTCAAGTCGAATGGCAAGGACTCAAATATCCATCTAGGGGAGATAACTCTCATCTTCCCTGTCACAAAATGCATGTTGCAGGGATAAAAGGAAACGGTACAGTGTCAGGATGCATCTTGACGAGGAAGATGTTTACAATACACAATGTTCTTTGTGTGGCATTTTACCAGGAACTCCAGCCAGGGTCAAGTTTTGGGTACATCAACTCATTTCTTTCCCCTCACCAGTCATGCTTGACATTGCAGTAAAGGTATAATAGGCTCTTGTTGTTCCAGGATTAAAATGCCATACCATTTGTTCTCTTGGGCCAAGGGAGATATTTATCTCTAAAGTTCATCGTTAGTTGCCAGAACACAGAGTAACATAAAACTAAATGTGGAGCAACATAAATACTTTATGTAGGCTTCTTAAGAGGGAAACTTCAAGTAGACCTTAAGTGTAAGGACTAATAGTTTTGAAATTGTAAGATGTTATTCAAATTACTTTCAGAAGCCCTAGGCGTGAGGAATACCACTTGTCTCCGTTTCCTTTTATCCAGAACAAAACATACAACTTTATGGATAAGAAGTAGTTGTATCTTTCCATAGTTACTCATCAATATATACAATACCAATCAATCAGTATCTCAGTGACTATTTAATAATCAAAGCATTGACAAGTACTAACATGACTATCAGTCAACAGAGATCCCATCTTTAGTTATGATAACAAAGTACCACATGTATTATGATACATCCTTCATAGTTTATGTACTCTGTTAACACACCTATCGGGTCACATAACAACGGCAAAATAATGTCAATACAATGACAAAGACAACAAGCAAAATATGATGACATAACCCAAAACCAGTGCAAACACATACCAAGTTGCTTTGCATTGTCATTCATGACAATTAAATGGTAACTATTAAAATATACATTTCTAAAACTGGATTAAGTTGAATCTAAACTACATGTGAGTAGAAACACAATAATGTGAACGCTAGACTGTCTCCAGGATCCTTGGTAATGAGTTAAAATAGAAAGTCCAACTGAAGCCTTGAATTATTGAGCAAGTCTGGTGCAGAGCATTTCAATGCACATACAAATTATCAGAATTCAGTTTTCATTTGTGATTGTGCTCTGTTTTGTTTTGTATATAGTGGTGAAGCAAAAATGAAAGTCCAACTAACACCTTGAATTATTGAGCAAGTCTGGGACAGAGCATATCCATGCATATGCATATTATTAGTAATCGCTTTCATCTGAGCTTGTGTTCTCGAAATATTTTGAATATGGTGGTGAAGCGACAACCGGAACTACCATCATGTTTGTTTTGGATTTGATGGACACTGGTCGGTGTTGGTCACTCACGTGGACGCTGTGATTCCCTTGAGTGACAAGGGTCAGGGTAGTCGTTACCGGAACAGATCTCTGAAAGAGAAGTTCCTCTGACTCAAGTTACAAGAATAACAAACACATATGTACACTGGGCCAATGACACCGACCTTCCATATCAGCGAACGGATAGTATTTGTAGTGTTACAGATGAAGCAAGTTACTGTAGCTGGTTGTATACAGGAAGCCTGTATGTGTCAATGACTTTGACATCACACCTGACCTTAAAACATGGCAAGTACAGATGACATTTTTGTAGGACTGACTTCTTTCACGACTGTCATCTGCAATTTCAATTAATTACCTGTAAGAAATATTACTTTTGCAAACAGGGCTGCTTAATTCACTTTGGAGTAAGTGTCAATATTATTTAAGATTGCTGAAGTCGAGTGAGTGTCATTTATTACTGACAGGCTTGAACAATTTGCGCTGCTTGTCCTAATATGGTTGGGTGGGTTATGTGTATTCTTAAAAGGAAGTAGTGTCAACCTTTTGATTTCTTAATTTCTTAAGAATATCAAAGTAAATTGAAACACTCAGCAAACACTCACTGCCAACAATGATATCAACTAAAGCTTTAAACCACAAGCTGCCTGTTGCGCTGCACCTGCCACACAATGGTGCCCGTATGCGTGTTACTAACTGCTGCATAATTCATACATTTTGATGATGGATATTGTTTTTGAACCCTGTTCAAGGGAATTATACATGCCAAACAACTAACACATTGATCAAAAGGTTATTTATTCAACCATATGATAAGATAAACTACTTTCCACAGACAATACATAATAAAATAGAGTTCCATTATGACCAACTCAAGGTAGTATACATTACTTTTTCTATTTGTGTCTCAGTCATGATGAATTAGGGAAGCACTAAACAAAAATATTTGAGTGATGACTTACTCTCCCGTGTTAGGAGTTGTAACATTCATTACGAGAACTTGATGTGCGACGCCTGCGATAGTTCGGTTGTTCAAAGACGCCCTTCCTCTTTCCACTATTTATAGTACATAAAGCAAAAGTTACAAACAACATCGTACAACTGTAACACTGTTGAAACAAATATGTACTCATGAAATAGTCACAATTGCACAATCGACTCTGCTTTGTGCTTTTAGCAGAGATTTCTTCTGGATGTAGAAAGGGTTTTTCGCTTCTGTTATAGAACACTAGCAATCGAAAGGCTGTGTATTGCAATGATAATAGGCTTGGGCTGATTCACACACTAAATTGTCATGTACTGCGCTTCGCAGTGACGGAACGTCTTTACTTCCTTACTACTATTACATAATTGTTAATCTGTTTACGAACGAGTATTTCTCTTATTCAGTGTATCTGTAAATTGTACATACGTGAGAATCGGAGTGCAGTTGGTAGTGGAGGCTTTCTCTTTTAAATGCTTAATAAGTTCATTCTTGCTCATATATTGTAAAGCAGCATCGACCACTTCATCGAAACACAACAGAAGCTGCTTCCTTTCTGAAAAATGAAAATGGAGTTGGTGTTATGTTCGTCTCATTGCGAGGTGAGATTGCTTCTTTAAGTGGTATTTTAGAAGTTGATGGAACTAGTTATGTGGATTGACAAATTCTTTATTGGAATGAATGAAACGTTTGGATGTAGATGGTAACAGAATATAAACATGAAGGGCGTTTGAGTTTATGCTATTGACGAAGTTGATGTACGGTATAATGACATTACTAATAGTGTTTACAGATGATGACTATAGAGCCAGATGGACAAAGGATAGGAGGGGGTTTATGTTGATTGGCCTTGATAAGATTATGGTAAAGCTGAAAGGTGATCCTTGAACCTTGATCTCTGTTGTTTTTGGGTTGAGTCGTTGGATGTTGATTGCCAATACGAGTTTTCTGATACTGTAGTCTGACTGGTAGTTTTCAAGGATGCTGAGGTTGAAAGGATGATTTGGGTGTGGTCGGAAATTCTATGATATTCATAGATTCACCTACGTTCACCTACGGGACGTTTCACCTACGTAATAGTAAAAAATCGCATTGCTGTGGTAGACAATCTCTGAGTGATCGTCTTTGTTGGTTGTAGCTGATTTTCCGGTGGCTTGCAAAATGTCCTGAATTGATTCCCTCTCTGGAGCACAACACCTATAGTGGCTTGCTACCTTAGCGGATATGATGGATGGAAGTACTGGTGTGTGGTATGCTGGTATGATGAGGTGAATTGAATGGTGCTGATACCTGACGTGGTGGTTTGTCTTTATGGTTAAGGATGGTCTTGGTAGTTTTGTAAGCTGGTTGGCTGGATACTGGTTGAGGTTTATGAAAACATTGCGAATGTGTTCTTAATCACGGTCAAGGGTTGTGGAGCTGCTGTGCTTGGCTCTTCTGGCTAGGGAGGCGATTATTCCTCTCTTAACTTGAATGGGGGTGGTTAGATGTGAAGTGGACATATTGGTCCGCATGGGTTGGTTTTCTGTAGAGGCTTGTGTGGAGCTTGTTGGTGTCTTTCGTGTCTATGACGTCAAGGAATGGTAGTTTGTTGTCAGTTTCTTCTTCCACTGTGAACTTAATGCGGAGATGTTGGGTGAGTGAGTGGTTAAGAAGGTGCGTAGGATCATCGACTGGGTTAATCATGACTAAAGTACTGTCTACGTTTCTGAACCAGCATATAAATGTGATGGGTGAGGTGAGGAGGACCTAATTTTCTAGTTCTGTCATGTAGACCTCGGTGATAATTGGAGAGAGGGGGGATCCCATAGATAAACCATGGGTTTATATGTAGATTTTGTGAGACCAGGTGATGTAGGCGGAACTAATTCAGGAATGGATGAGGCAGATGACGCTGTTTACGAGGAGGTAGATCGGCGTTGATGTCTCAACATCGTTGCACCATTGCATAGACTCAAATATCATAGCATCTACACCGAAACGTATCATCCATTGCGTAAAAGAAGGGGGATGAAATAATGAATATGAACATTGTTTGACTTTCTTCAGTCGTCATCGAGGGTGGACGCCTACAGGGCTAAAGATAAGGGGCATGCAGGCGTAATATACGCCTCAATACCATCGAAGTACAACATAATATATGATTTCAAGTGTATCATGTAATCATAAATACCTTTGTACGTCTAACATTTAATGTCAAGAGTTTCTTATCCAACGCGATTTGACACATGAGGAAACCCCGGTCGCTCAGTTATTTCTTACTCGTCTTCAAATACAAATACAAGTACATGGTTGGAAATAGTAGTCGATGAATCGTCCAGACAAACCACATCACCAACTCGCTCGCACAAAAACATGTCAGCAGTACTCCTTCAAAATTATCAGTACACCTCCACTTGCAATATGATGTGTAAGTACACCCACACCCCCAAAAGTTATCTGGAGCCCTGCGCCTGCAAGTAGCAAAGAGCTTCAGGACCGTTCGACTATCTCCCAGAGTGCTCGGCAACGACATGGATAGATAAGTTTGACAGATGAAGGTGCAGAGAGTATAGTTACAAGGACGCTGAAGTTCCGATTTCCAAATGTGTAAAAGAAACGCATAATAAGAGTTCAAATACCGAATGCCGAGTGTAGAATCGGATAAAATACCAAACATGAAAAAAATTCAGATTCGTGATTCGAATCCCGAATATGAAAATAAATATTCAGATTCAGGTTTCAAATCATGAAACCCGTATGTTGAAAAAAACTCAGATTTGAGGTTCAAATATCGAAAACTATAAGCTTTTAATGTACCCAGGTATACAACGAGCACCTACTACATTAGAAGGGGGATGAAATAATGAATATTGACATTGTTCGTGTTTCTTCGATCGTCATGGAGGATTGAGGCCCGCAAGCAGGGAAGAGCTTCATGAACGTTCGACTATCTCCGAGAGTAGTTATATAATGTTGGTTCTATTACAGGGTAACTTATAGGCTTATTTCTACGTAATTCCGCTCCCAGCGCCTAGTATAAAATAGTGATTCGATGTACAGCCGAGCTTGCCAGCCTAGACCCGTTAAACCTGCAAAGTGTCTATGATGATAAGAATCTCATTTTCACTAGGGCATCCCATTTTTTCAGCAACCACAAATCTACTACTGACTAGACCTTGACATGCCGAGTGGAGTTTCCTTTTTAAGGGGTCTTAGAAACTCCAAACACGTCGAGATCTAATCGGTGGTTTATGCGCGTGTGTCCGTACGCGTAAGTCGTGACGCCGTCGACGGCGATCCACCGTTCGGTATCCATGGGCGACAAGGAGGTTTTATTGAGGGTGATTCCATAGATGTTGTGCTTGTTGCTTCTCAATGCATTCATTCGGTGTTTGAACGTTTTATTCTTGAACAGAGCTTGTTTGAAGAGGGCGTGTTTGACGGTTGTTTCACCACGTATTGTTTTACCACTTTCGCCTTTAGGATCACACCGTTGTCGGCTTTCAGGATGGAATACATCTTGGGTCTTAATCCGATGTATTCAGCGATGGGTGTGCCCACGCATTCGTCCTTCATCTTGCCGAGGACCTTTTTATTGGTTGGTAGGGCGTGGTCTTGGGGGTAATCGCTGGTGTCATACAGGTGCATGTATTTCGCCACGTCCTCGTACACGTCCTCGGTACGTATATTTTAGCGACAAGGAATCGGTGTCCTTGTACAGCAGCTCGCATCGATCGCCGTATTGCTTCTTGAGTCGGTTGTAATAAAAGTCGTACATGACATGTTTGGACAGGTCGAGAATGATCATCTCCACGTAGACGGGCCGGTTGAGTTTGATGTGGCTTTTGTTCATGTGGTGCGCTGTGAAGTCGTCATCGAATAGCTTGCTTCGGTTGAATGCCTGGCTGGTAATCAGTTTTCTGAGTTTTTTCCTCGTAGTGTGATAGAATGAGTTTTATGTTGACGCGTTTCGTAACGCGTGCATATCGTAATTGGTGAACATTTCCAGTTTGACACCCGTTTTCTTCAGCAGCGCATCCCACGAGAGACCAGAGCTGGTGTAGTACCATTCGGGGTCGAGTTTATACTGTTTCAAACACATTGTTCTGAACGTTTCGAACACGTCGGCTAGCAGCAGCACATCCGTTTTCAAGTCCAGGTCGAGGTAGTCGCCCAGATTCTTGCAACCCAGTTTGTTCCATACGTTCTGAGCATGCTCGTAATCGTCCTGGGAGATATTAGATTCAGTTAAGTTGCTGTAAATCGGCCGATGGGAGGTAGTTGGGTCTCGTCGAACTTAGACCAATGGTCCATGTACTCGTACGGGTACACGACCTTTTTGAGCAGCAGAGGCCTTGTTGCCTCATCGATGTATCGATGGGTGATGGCGAAGGTATCGTTGGCCTTGACCAAACTGTCGAGCAATGACAGGAGGAACTGAGCACTATCGATAAATCTCAGACCGTTGAGCGAGAAGGAAATGTATTTCTCCATGTTGTTGGGGATACTCTTGATATCACCGCCGACCTTCAAGATGGCCTGCATGATCAAGCGAGCATCGTACCCTCTCAAATTGTATACAACCACGAGGATAATAATGTTTTTGGGATCGTTTTAGTTGCACGCATTGTGTCGACAGGTAATGACAGATATGATCTCTCACCGAATCACCATTCAGGGGTCCTCTATATACGTGACAACATTTAGCTCGTCGATGAGAAAACTCATCCTCTGGCGTCATATCCATGGAGGAAGGATGCAACAAAGCTCGCTTCTTTGATGTTTCTCTCTTCGCGAGGGAACATGAGAAATATTTCGTCCGCAGCAGGGACCTCGGTAAATCACCGGTGGTTCCGTTTTTCCATCGCATCGGACGACCACGTACCCGAACCCGTAGGCTTAGTGTTTTTGCGTTTTGTACGTGAAACTTTTTTCCGGGGATGGCACGACGGTGTTCACCTATTTGATGAGAGCTTCGAAGTCGGCGTAGATGACATAGTGAACGGGTATTTGATGTTTGTGGTTGATGAAGTTATTAGATGTTTTTATTTTCTCGAGGCATATCAGTTCTGATCGCCGTCTCTCCCACGTCTCGGCAATCCTCCCAATGCAATTCTAATAAATCAGCGCTAGAATACCCATGTAGGCACCGTTCGCAGAAATGTTTCTTTCTGGTGTGTATGGATTGGTCGTACAACAATCGGCTCAGATTTTTAATGGCTGTATAGTGGTACTGGCCATCTTTTTCAATGAGAAATAAATTGATTCTGCACACGGTTTTATCACTCACAGAGCTTATCCTGTGCACAATGGTTTTGTCGCCTTTGTGGCCGAACACGTTGACAGCCAAATGGTATTGTTTTTCGAATCGCGTCCAGTAGGAGATGGGCGTTATGCATTCTACACCCGTGAAGTCGAACCCAGATGCCTCAATCGATGGATAGCTGGAACGCCAGCACGGATTACCTGTCGGTTCGTGCGTAGCAGCTACGACGGCCTCCACCTCGCAGTAATTATTAACATTGTCAGGGTTGGCTTCTGGGTTAACAAGGGCCTTTATCTCTGAAATGCTTGGGCACCGGTATGTGCAATACGCCTCTGAGTGGCATGTAGTTCGCGTCGAGATAAACAGTGTTGATTTTGTCTACCACCCATCCAGAGCCCATGTGGGTATATTTCTCCTAAGATTCTTGTATGTTTTGTAATGACGTGTCGATGGAGGATTCAATATATTCTGGTTGAGTTAGGACTTCCTGTTTGCCTCTGAAATAGGGCACGGTGGATTTGGTACTGCCATCCGTCTGAGGTTTTTGGAGCGTTATTTTCATCGTCAGTTGGTATTTTTTTGCTTTTCAAATCGTTTAATTCTTTGCGAAGTTTACTGTCGATGAAGGGTTTGATTTTATCGGTATCGATATTAGAATCGATCACCATTTTACAACCTAGGAGATACTTTCCCACGGCGTGCTCCTTCGGCATGAATCACAGTTCGACCGGCTGGTGTCTTCCAGCAAGGTGAGCAGTTGGGCTTTTCTCATGCGAGAATAACCAGTCAATCCACGTTCTTTAGCTCGAACTTTGAATTGACGGTGGGGGGCTTGTCATAGTTCATATCGAGCGAAGCCAGCAATTTCTCATGCGAGAATAACCGATCACACCACACTTCTTAGCCAACGCTTTCAGTTCTCCGACAGTATGCCATATGAAAGCTGTTTCTCTAATTGGTTGTATTCCATATGCAAGTCAAATGTCTAATAGGGTGTTCATTGATGATGGGAGGTAACTCCGTCAGCCTTCTATGAAATGAGTGAGTGAGTAAGTTAAAATTTAACGTCACCCTGGCAATATTTCAGCCATATATTGACGAGAAATGTTGTACATACACAATAAATACAAGTAATTAAATACCCAGTCATCGACGGACTGTAAAGTAACTAGGGTATCACAAAAAGAGTTAAAACAAGCTAGTATTATTTTTAAAAGTAAGAAACTATTTGAGACAATACAATGTAAAAATGGGCTAGTGATCGCCAACAACTGAAGGTAGATGACCACACTAGGGACCATGGGGACTTACAGTGCTTTTGCTACCTGCATGGACCCTAGTTAGATTTACACCATCCCTTCAGCCGCTGGCGAATGTAGGAACATTTAGCCGACAGTTAAAATAACAAATATACTTCGTTTAAAAATCGGGTAAGCAAAATTTTAACTTTGAAAGTTTTGGGACTTACGTATCCTCTCAGGAGGACAATAATTTTACGCTACTTCAACCCCCTTTGAGGATACAGCCACTAACAATCTAAGTTGAAAATCTGAACTACCAATTATGAAACCTTATCTATTTACAAAACATATATCAAAATTCACAAGGGATACAAAACGGAGGATCCTCACTTTTCAATAGGCATGCATGAGTATATCTTGTGTGGCCAATACGACATCGTCGTATGATGACCTCTTCAAATCTGGACTGACAACCCAAGAAATAGGGTTTTATTTCATGTAATTTATTTTTACCTACCTGGGTGTCCCACTTCTTTTGCATTAGATCACGGATGTAGGTTCTAATGATAGCTTTGTAATCCGAACGTGGAATAAGAAGTTAAACCGAGCACTTTGCTATCAGGTCCTCTGTGGCTCAGTCGAACGACTGATGGGGTAGGGCCAAGGTGCAGAGATTTGCAACTCTGTCACTGAGGGTTAGAAGCCTGCCATTCGGAAAAAAACACGGAGCTCTCAGGCAGCTCCCACAACCCCATGGGAGAAATACAATTTGCAAATTGTAGCAGAATGTATATTGCAGGGTACGCTGGAGGTATTCTATTCTGTATCCCTGGTGGAACGATGTGTTTCTAGCTCCGTGTGTGGCTGAGAATGGAATGTGCATTTCATTTGGACTACATTTAGACATTTGTGTACCTTAAGTGTATATACAATTATGTGGACATCTCCACATCGTGTGGATCTTGGGTAGAGCTGGGCAAATCCTTGGAATGCGGAAACCAATGTACGACTGAATATTGCCACAAACATGCTCAAAGTGTGAGAAGGGGTCATGCCAATTATGCGTGTCAAGTATGTGGTGTTGGGGTCAAATGTCAGTATTCTTTGTGCAAAGCCCATGGGGCTGACATTGTCAGAATGAAACCGATCACTAAAAGGCGTTCAGATTATATACTAGTAAGTGAATTTAGGAGACTCAGGAAGATTAACGTTTATAAGATTTTACGGCGCTTCATTTCAGAGAAGGCTGACGGAGTTACCTCCCATCATCATTGAACACCCTATTAGACATTTGACTTGCATATGAATACAAACAATTAGAGAAACAGCTTTCATATGGCATACAACATGGCTACTGTCGGAGAACTGAAAGCGTTGGCTAAGAAGCGTGGTGTGATTGGTTATTCTCGCATGAAGAAAGCCGCATTGCTGGCCTCACTCAGCATGAACTATGACAAGCCCCCCACCGTCAAAGCGCTCAAAGTTCGAGCTAAAGAACGTGGATTGACTGGTTATTCTCGCATGAGAAAAGTCCAACTGCTCACCTTGCTGGAAGACACCGATCCGGTCTGTGATTCGTGCCGACGGAGCACGCCGTGGGTAAGTATCTCCGAGGTTTGAAAATGGTGATCGATTCTTATATCGATACCGATAAAATCAAACCCTTCATCGACAGTAAACTTCGCAAAGAATTAAACGATTTGAAAAGCAAAAAAATACCAACTGACGATGAAAATAATGCTCCAAAAACCTCTGACGGATGGCAGTACTGAGTCCATCGTGCCCTATTTCAGAGGCAAATAGGAAGTACTAACTCAACTAGAATCGATTGAATCTTCTATCGATGCGTCGTTACAAAAAATACAAGAAAATATACCCACATGGGCTCTGGATGGGTGGTAGACAAAATCAACACTGTTTATCTTGACATAGCGAACTACATGCCACTCAGAGGTGTATTGCACATACCGGTGCCCAAGCATTTCAGAGATAAAAAGGCCCTCGTTAACCCAGAAGCCAACCCTGATGATGTTAATAATTACTGCGAGGTGGCGGCGGGTAATCCGTGCAGGCATTCCAGCTATCCATCGATCGAGGCATCTGGGTTCGACCTTTACGGGTGTAGAATGCATAACGCCCATCTCCTACTGGACGCTATTCAAAAAACAAAACCATTTGGCTGTCAACGTGTTCGGCCAAGGAGGCGACAAAACCATCGTGCACAGGATAAGCTCTGTGAGTGATAAAACCAATTTATTTCTCGTTGTACCACTATGCAGCCATTAAAAGTCTGAGCCGATTGTTGTTGACCAATCCAAACACACAGAAAAAACATTTCTGCGAATGGTGCCAGAAAGAAGCTGATTTATTGAATCGAAGGATTGCCTGCATGGGAGAGGGCGATCAGAATCGATATGCCTCGAGAAAATAAAAACATCTTAGAATTCATCAACCACAAACATCAAATGCCCGTGCCCTACATCATCTAGAACTTCAAAGCTCTCATCAAACAGGTGAACACCGTCGTGCCATACCCGGAAAATTCAGGCACAAAACACAAGAACATCTTAAAATTCAGGTATGTGGTTGTCCGATGCGATGGAAAAACGGAACCACCACAGCAACTTAACCGAATCTAATATCTCCCAGGACGATTACGAGCATGCTCAGAATGTATGGAACAAACTGGGTTGCAAGAATCTGGGCGACTACCTCGACCTGGACTTGAAAACGGACGTGCTGCTGCTGGCCGACGTGTTCGAAACGTTCAGAACAATGTGTACAATATGAACAATATGAACTCGACCCCGAATGGTACTACACCAGCCCGGGTCTCTCGTGGGATGCACTGCTGAAGAAAACGGGTGTCAAACTGGAAATGTTCACCAATTACGACATGCACCTGTTCGTCGAGAAAGGCATGCACGGCGGGATTTCCATGGTCTCCAAACGGTACGTGAAAGCCAACAACCAATACGTGAAAAACTACGATTCGAACAAGCCCGCCAATCATCTCCTCTATCTCGACGCCAACAACCTGTACTGCTGGGCTATGAGTCAGTATTTGCCTACGGGCTGGTTCGAATGGGTTAATAGCCAGCACTTCAATCCGAAGAACATTATGGCCATCTCCGACAACTTCGAGATAGGCTACCTGTTCGAAGTGGATTTGGAGGACCCCGAAGCATTGCACGAATCGCACAACAGTTATCCGCTGGCTCCCGAACGATTAATGGTGAATCGAGACTGGATATCCGACTATCAGCGAGACTTGTTGGGCGAGAACACACTGGCTCAGGTGAAAAAAACTCGTCCCGAACTTGATGAACAAAACCAAGTACGTCGTGCACTATTGCAACCTGCAGCTGTACCTGTCGCTGGGTATGAAGCTGACCAAATTACACCGAGTGCTCAAATTTGATCAAAAACCCTGGATGGAACCGTACATTCGGTTGAACACCAGATTGAGGAAACAAGCCACAAGCGATTTTGAGAAAAACCTCTACAAACTCATGAACAATTTGGTATTCGGCAAAACCATGGAAAACTTGAGGAAACGCGTCAACGTAAAACTCATGCGATCGCACCAGGAGGAAAAACACAGAAAAACTGATCGCCAGCCAGGCATTCAACCGAAGCAAGCTATTCGATGACGACTTCGCAGTGCTCCACATGAACAAAAGCCACATCAAACTCAACCGACCCATCTACGTGGGGATGAGCATTCTCGACCTGTCCAAACATGTCATGTACGACTTTTATTACAACCGATTCAAGAAGCAATACGGCGATCGATGCGAGCTGCTGTACAAGGACACCGATTCCTTGTTGCTGAATATATGTACTGAGGACGTGTACGAGGACGTGGCGAAATACATGCAACTGTATGACACCAGCGATTACCCCCAAGACCACGCCCTACACAGCACGACCAATAAATAGCTCGTCGGCAAGATGAAGGACCAATGCGCGGGATACCCATCGCTGAATACATCGAACTGAGACACAAGATGTATTCCATTCTGAAAGACAACAACGGTGAGATCCGAAAGGTGAAAGGGGTAAAAAAACTATGATGAAACAACACATCAAACACGCCCTCTTCAAACAAGCTCTGTTCAAGAATAAAACGTTCAAACACCGAATGAATGCGTTGAGAAGCGACAAGCACAACATCTATGGAATCACCCTCAATAAAACCTCCTTGTCGCCCATGGATACCAAACAGTGGATCGCCGTCGACGGCATCACGACTTACGCGTACCGACACACGTGCATAAACCACTGATTAGACCTCGACGCATTGGGAGTTTCTAAGACCACCTATAAAGGTAACTCCACTCGGCATGTCGAGGTCTATTAGTTAATTTGTTGTTGCTGAAAAATGGCTTGCCCTGGCGAAAATGAGATTCTTATCATCATAGACACAGATTTGGGATTTGAATCCCCAGTGCCCAATTCGAATCCGTTTCTAAACAGAAATTTAAAAAAAAAATGAAATTCAGGATTCGAATCCCGAATGTAAAAAAACCTCAGTTTAAGGATTTGAATCTCAAATCACATTCGAATCCCGAATAAGGAATCCGTTTCTAACTTCATGTTGCTGTGTCCGGCTTGGTGTGTGCACCTGAGGCTGAACAAGGGCTCTAAGATAATAAAGAGCAGAGTCTGTCTTGAGGTATTTGAAAGTGTGGAATAGGATGTTTAACTTGATTCTTCTGGAAACGGGTAGCCAATGGAGTTGTTTGAGAACAGGAGAGGTATGTTGGTGTCCTGGTAATGATCCTGACAGCTGTATTGTGGAGGAACTGAAGTTAATGAAGGAGTGTTGAGGATATGCCATAAACAGGGAATTAGAGTAATTTAGTCATTTTAGTTGGATCTTGAGAAAGGTAACTGTGGAGTTTTCCAATCTAATGGAGGTGGAAATGACCTGTTTTTCAAACGGCTGCTACTTGATTCTTCATTGTCATATTAGAGTACAAAAACAATGCAAAGATTCTGTACTTGTTTGCATGATGTTACTGGTGTATCTCCAATTCTGCATGTCATTTTTGAATCGGGTATGTTCTGTACTTGGTGATGGGATCCAACAAGAAGAACTTCAGTTTGTTTCCCAGTTCAATTTAAGAAAATTAATTTTCATCCAGTTGCAGTCGTTATCAATGCATTTTTCTAGCCTGTCAAATTCAGTCGTAACGCGCAATGTCAACAGCGTAGCCATGAACAGGTATACTGTAACTTGTGAAGATATCACCAAGGGGAATGATGTACATGGTGAAGAGCAGTGGACCCAACACCAATCCTTGGGGGACGCCATAATTGCACTTTTATAAAGCTGAGTGACAGGCAAAGGAACAACAGAAATCACTATTATATAACAACTATCTATATGAATTCATATGTTAAAGGCATGGCATTTGACTTTACACATTTCATTGAACATATATGGGTTGTGGACCTGAACAACATTTACACATGTGTGGAATCATCAAGGTTCGGTCTCAGTAAATCAGCTACAATCAACAATAGGTTTCACTCTTCAGTGAAACAGGAGAAAGCGTTCATGCAGTGGTGATAATATTTCAGTAACAACCTGGATAACCTTTTTATGATAAACACGTATTAAAACTGTAGCCATTAACTACTATGAAGTTATAATTACATGTATGTCATGTACGTTGATGTACTCACCTATCTGGGTGCCAGTACACTCTCTCACACATCCTACTTCTGACAACAGTTTTTCGACAAGTTTTCCATTTGAGGCAGAGAATGTCACTGCAGGTTCTGTCGCTTTTGATCGTCCTTGACCTTGACCTTGACCTGATGCTTTCAGTCTGTTCTTGATAGCAGGATACATCTGCAGCATTTCCACAATATCAGCTGTATCCATGGCCTGTGTAAAGTATGTTTCAGTTGAGTCTATAACAGCAAGAGTGTTGTCTATCTTCTCCACTTCCTTCTTAGACAGAGCCAACTTTGTCTCACTCCTTTGGTCGACGTCTTGGTACAAACGTTCTTTTCTTTGATTTAGAATACTTGTCATGTTTTTAAAGTATTTGTTGACATCAGAGTTGGTTTTTCTCTGAGCTTGCACGATAGCTTCTTGACTGTTTTCTTCACACATGCGCCTCTGACGCAGTTGTTGGGCATTTGTTTGGACTGCTTGCATCAATGACTCCAGCTCCTCTTGTCGTTTCTTAGCCACGTCCTCGAGTTTCTGGAACTTATGACCTTTATGTTCCACAACCGTGCAAGACATGCAGCACAGTGTATCATCAATAACACAGAAGAACTCCAGCTGGTGTTTAGGATGATGAGTGCAGCAGTGCCGCTTGCCTAACATGTTCAAGGGTTGCTGCAAGGCATCACTCAGGGATATGATCTGATGGTCGCGCGTCAGTTGATGACGTTTGTGTACATACATGCACTGCTGACACAGATACACAGAACACTCTTGGCATCTGGACTTGGCTGTATTGCCATCGGGGCAGTCTGTGCATGGGACGTTCCCTTCGTTCTTCATCTGAACAAAATCAGTAAGTTTCACACGGACCAGATCCAAGGGCAATGAGTCCGCCTTCCCTGGGACATTGTGGACTTGACGACATAGAGGACATGTGATCTGGCCTTTCCCCTCCTTGGCGAGCAGCTGCTGAAGACACTGTGTGCAGAAGGCGTGGAGGCAGGTTATGAGGAGACGAGGACGTCGGTCAGTCTGGTTGAAATGTTCCACACACACAGGACACTCCAGGAATGTGTCTTTAAGGGCGCTCATGTCCACCTTCTTCTGGGCTTCAGCCATCCTGTAATATAAACATTAACATTCACCTGTTTACAGTCCGTTTGAGTCAGAAACGGACCAATGAATTGCAAATTGTATCATTGTACAAAATTGCCACATAAATATAAATAGTACACATGTTTATCATTTACTAATACCCAACAGCTTTCTTATATTTGAAAATAAAAAAGTTCTTTAAGAAACTATCATTAAAGGTCACATGCAACGTAAAACACAACTTTGCAGATTCTGATACCTTTCGGTATGGACTTACCGAAACAAATCATCAAAAATGCAAATTCAACTTATAAAGTTGAAAAATAACGCGATGAAAAAACCCGCGCAAATCGTAGTTCAAACAATTCACTAACTTTCCCCCAGTGCTTGTGGGAATTGAAGTGGTTTCAACAGCTGGGCTGCTATCATAGCACATGCGCAGTGAAATAGGTTCGCGGAGCTTGGAAGCGGGTTGTCCGGTGAATATTAGGTGAAGGTTTTGGTGTGAGCTATTTTTCTAATGTTTTGTTGATATTTCACAGGCGCGAGCTTTTTATGTGTTATTACAGTAGATTACCGATTTAACTGTTTATATAATTTCATTTGTCTATTTCACCATACTTTCTTCTTACCGAGTCACTTTCTCAGTTCGATACTTAAAAGCAATGTCATTATTTAGCGTCGACAGAATGTCTAACTGTGATATAGATATGTCGTTGTCACAGACAAATCTCAATGTCTGTTTTATTGGCACATATGTGTCTGCATGCCCGTCTGCTTATGACAATATTCAATACACAATTTCAATCACTGACCACATGCAATTTGAACTTAACACCAATCAGGCTATACACCATAAACAAAACGCATTGAGTTCGGTCTCTGTCACATTATGTAATTACACAGACAGGCAGGTGAGATACTTGTACACATGACATGTTATGATGTCTGTTGATTGCAAAATGTTATGCACAAAAAATGAGCATGTATTTACAAAACCCAACATCTCTATATATACACACACAATGAGCCGTGAGGACGGCATCTGCAAATGAACCAACCGTTACACTTGAGTGCATAACCCACCCGCTCTGACTGGGTGCGGTATCCCGGCTGCTTCGTTTCTTGGGAAGTAAACCCAAGTACAAAATATTGCACTTTTGATTTGCGATTGTAAGTAGTATTGTAGGTGGGAGCAGACGGTCCTTTTGGTTGAGGGAGGTTGAGGGAAGGGTGAGGAAATGGATTGGCTGATGTAAGTCACGTGATCATAGCTGATAGGTAAATAAAGACAGCACGTCACAGGTCAGGAAAGTTCAATGAAAGGTGTGGGTGTTTTAAGGCAGTCGTGCAGAAAACTCTTCATTAAGCAAGAAAAAAAACAGAAGCAAAGTGTCCTGAATAGAGCTATGTATAGCATGCTGCCCTGAATAGACAGACAGACAGTACCCGTCAGCCCGGTTTTGAATTGAGCGTGCTTGACAACTCACGTGACTCCGTCGTGAATGCAGGGTGTGCGTTGAAAGTACATCATATCACAATAGAGACGGGTTGTCAACATGGTTCGGAGACGGAATCTTCGAGTCATGTAAAATGTAGTTGAAAAACATTTCATACAGAACGCGTCCTGTACAAGTATAACACCATCAAAGTAATGGAAAGTTGGTGTAGGTTTATATGTTATTTCATACTAGTTTTTTTCCATCCAAATATAGCGTGATGAGAAATAAATGATTTTGAGCCATGTACACTAATGGATACAGTTTTAGTTTTACTAAACAGCGAGATGTTTGAAATAAGCGGCTTGAAATACACATGAATAGAAGCATATCAATATCATATAGCACACGTATAATACCATGAAAGTCACGTCATTTGGAGAGAGACGAAAGAAATAGAAATGTAGAGGCAAGGAATCTGCTTATTGAAACAGTAGTATTTGGTGGAGGGAAGGTGGAGGGAAGGTGGAGAGAAATGTATTGGCTGATCCAAGTCACTTGATCACCGTCAAATAGCCCGCGCTGGGCAAAGCGTTGGACTATTGTTCACCCTTTGTAAAGAAGGCGCTGAATTATTCAGCCCTGTGCCGACTTGAAGCCGATGTTTAAACGTTATTTCACGCGAGCTTTTTTTCTTCCCCTGCAAATGTAAGCTTATGAAACAAATAAACTGTAGCGTTTGTGTATATGAAACTATGTATCCAATTTTAGTTTTACTTCAGGACTGTATTGAATTGAGCGGTGTGAATGGAGCGACGATGGTGTTTGTTGGGTTGGATAGGAAAAGTCCGTCTGCTTTAAGACTGTCGTCTGCTAGCGAACCACTTCCGTTGACATGTCTCGTCAAGTTGATATTTCTAAAAATAGAAGATACATATACAAAAGAAGGTAGTCCACACCACTAATCATTCATATCACGGACTGTCTCTCCAGAACGGTTCGTGAATGTATGGATGGAAACACGGTTTATACATGTAACGTCTAATGTACATAGTCTAATCTGGCTATTGCCTATACTCCATGTTCTATTCTGCTTTACAGAACCAAACGATGCTGAATTAATCCTAGTAGTAAATGGAACTGCTAGAGCTAGTACGTGTCGTAATGAATTAAGCAAAGATCGGTTTTATTCTTCGCTGAGCGAGGAAGGAATTTCGGAACCGGATTATGACTTTGTCCAACGTCGACGTCTTTGGCATACGTGACATGAAATCGATGAACGATTTTGTTGTGTTGTACGTGTTGGTAGACACCTTACTGTTATGCAAATGTTTAGATCTATGTGTATGACAAACTACGGTATCGAACCGTTTCATTTTGTGAATCTACCAGGTTTCTCAAACATGTATTGCCTCAAGCTCACCCGTGTACAATTACGACTCTTAACTCACCCAGATTTATACGGGTATTTTGAGAGCGGTATCAGAGGTGGATGTAGTTTCATCGCCCATCGATATCTCAAAAGTAACAACGTCTACATGGGGGATGAGTATGACCCAACAAAAGAGACTGGTTATTTGTTGTACTACGATGTCAATAGTCTGTATGCTACTTGTATGACAGAGCCCTTGGCTGTGGGGAACTTTGAGTTCCTAGAGCGTGACGAGTTTGACAGTATTGACTGGATGTCTGTCCCTTACGACGGGGACTATGGTTATGCGATAGAATGTGATCTGACAATCCCTCGGCATTTACATGATTTCATCTCTTCATTCCCTCCGGCACCGACGCATAGGAACATACCACTGAGCGAATTTTCACCTTACTTTGAAGATATTTTGCAAGCGTTAGGTCTATCTAAAACCAAATCGAGCGGGAAAAAAATTCTTTTGTACACTGTATGACAAAAACAACTACATCGTTCATTTCGAAACGCTGAAGTGTTATTTGAGACTAGGTATGCGAGTGAAATATATTCACACCGTAGTTAGATTCGCTCAGAAGGCATGGATGAAACCTTACATCGATGTCAACACACACAAACGTAAAATAGCTACTGACAGCACATCCAAAGATTCTTACAAACTTTTGAGCAATGCGTGTTATGGAAAACAGATTGAAAACTGTAGAAAGTACAAGGACATTCGGTTGGTAAACGATGCTAACATATTGACGAAAAACACTGCCAAGTGCAATTTCAAACGACTCAATATTTTCTCTGAAGAGTTGACTTTGGTAGAAATGGAGCGTACTTCGGTCTCATTAGACAAACCAATTGCTGTGGGATTCTGTATACTGGAACATGCCAAGAGAAGAATCTATTCTTTCTGGTATGACGTTTTGGTTAGACAGTACGGTAGTCGAGTGAAACTGTGTATGACCGATACGGATTCGCTCTTATTTGCTGTGAGCGCCCAACCGGAAAAACCGCTCCTGGATCCTTATCTGTTTATGAGCTATCACATGGAATTATTCGACACGTCCAATTTTCCAAAGTCTCATCCTTTGTACTGCAAAGAAAGACATAAACAGCATGGCCTTATGAAATCGGAAACTGCACATCATATTATCACCGAATTTGTGGGATTGAAAAGCAAATGTTACAGTTTTGTAGTAAAGCAAGAAGTAGAGAACAAGGAAGGTGGTACGAGTGTACAACTCACTGAGGAGAAACGCGCTAAGGGTATACAGCGTACCTGGGTGAAAAAAACACCTCAGACACGAGATGTTAAAAGAGTGTCTGTTCAATCGAAAACAGTTTTGGGCTACGTTTCAACAAATCAGGTCTTTTCACAATACATTGTACACAGTGAAGGTAAGGAAAGTCGCGTTGTCTCCTTTAGACAATTAAAGGTACATACTCGATGATGGGATATCATCCTTACACTATGGTTATATTGCTCCCGAGTAAGACGAACCAAATCTCTCCTAGGCATTAGTTTATCGTGTTTAATACACGTGCGCTATGACCATATGTTGAATCACACACACACACACACAGACTGACGGGTGGATGGATAATAGTCAAGCTGGAAAAACTGAAAAGAGGCAAAGAGCCTACATGAAGACATGTACAATGTACATGTATTCGATGGATCCTCGTCTATATATCAGGTTAATTGATTACATTCGTTATCAATGGGGATCTCGTGAGAATCAGTTATTTGAGAAAGCCGTTTGCTAAGGAGCACAACTTGAGACGGGCAGAAGAGTTATTTAAAGTGGCAACATGATATCGCCGACAAACCATTCCTTTATACACACTGAACGTCACTGTCATAAGTCTTATTTGAAGCATACTTTCCCAAATGTATGAAGCATTTAAAATACGATGCATGAACCTTTTCTAAACAATGAAAATATTTAGTTCCCCAGATTTCGGACCCATATAAAAGAATCGGTAAAATCTTACAATCAAAGATGGTACAGGCAGTTTTGAAAGAAATAAAAGAATTCTTTTTGAATAACTGATATACAGATTGCATAGCCTTTGATGCTTGAACAGATAAACTTTTACAGGCTGTTGACCAATTTAGTCTGGATGAGAATATTAAACCCAAATATTTATAATACGAAACACATTTCAGCCTTGTATTACCATAATACAATACCTCATCCTTTTTTAACACACCTCCATTTCTAAACACAATAATATTAGTTTTCTCAATATTAACCCTCAAACCCTAAGTAATACAAAATTGATGTATCGGTCATACACAGTTTCACTCGACTACCGTACTGTCTAACCAAAACGTCATACCAGAAAGAATAGATTCTTCTCTTGGCATGTTCCAGTATACAGAATCCCACAGCAATTGGTTTGTCTAATGAGACCGAAGTACGCTCCATTTCTACCAAAGTCAACTCTTCAGAGAAAATATTGAGTTGTTTGAAATTGCACTTGGCAGTGTATTTCGTCAATATGTTAGCATCGTTTACCAACCGAATGTCCTTGTACTTTCTACAGTTTTCAATCTGTTTTCCATAACACGCATTGCTCAAAAGTTTGTAAGAATCTTTGGATGCGCTGTCAGTAGCTATTTTACGTTTGTGTGTGTTGACATCGATGTAAGGTTTCATCCATGCCTTCTGAGCGAATCTAACTACGGTGTGAATATGTTTCACTCGCATACCTAGTCTCAAATAACACTTCAGCGTTTCGAAATGAACGATGTAGTTGTTTTTGTCATACAGGGAATGAAGAGAAGAAATCATGTAAATGCCGAGGGATTGTCAGATCACATTCTATCGCATAACCATAGTCCCCGTCGTAAGGGACAGACATCCAGTCAATACTGTCAAACTCGTCACGCTCTAGGAACTCAAAGTTCCCCACAGCCAAGGGCTCTGTCATACAAGTAGCATACAGACTATTGACATCGTAGTACAACAAATAACCAGTCTCTTTTGCTGGGTCATACTCATCCCCCATGTAGACGTTGTTACTTTTGAGATATCGATGGGTGATGAAACTACATCCACCTCTGATACCCCTCTCAAAATACCCGTATAAATCTGGGTGAGTTAAGAGTCGTAATTGTACACGGGTGAGCTTGAGGCAATACATGTTCGAGAAACCTGGTAGATTTACAAAATGAAACGGTTCGATACCGTAGTCTGTCATACACATAGATCTAAACATTTGCATGACGTCGCATAACAGTAAGGTGTCTACCGACACGTACAACTCAACAAAATCGTTCATCGATTTCATGTCAAACTTATGCCAAAGACGTCGACGTTGGACAAAGTCATAATCCGGTTCCGAAATTCCTTCCTCGCTCAGCGAAGAATAAAACCGATCTTTGCTTAATTCATTACGACACATACTGGCTCTAGCAGTTCCATTTACTACTAGGATTAATTCAGCATCGTTTGGTTCTGTAAAGCAGAATAGAACATGGAGTATAGGCAATAGCCAGATTAGACTGTGTACATTAGACGTTACATGTATAAACCGTGTTTCCATCCATACATTCACGAACCGTTCTGGAGAGACAGTCCGTGATATGAATGATTAGTGGTGTGGACTACCTTCTTTTGTATATGTATCTTCTATTTTTAGAAATATCAACTTGACGAGACATGTCAACTTTTTCAACAAACGGAAGTGGTTCGCTAGCAGACGACAGTCTTAAAGCAGACGGACTTTTCCTATCCAACCCAACAAACACCATCGTCGCTCCATTCACACCGCTCAATTCAATACAGTCCTGAAGTAAAACTAAAATTGGATACATAGTTTCATATACACAAACGCTACAGTTTATTTGTTTCATAAGCTTACATTTGCAGGGGAAGAAAAAAAGCTCGCGTGAAATAACGTTTAAACATCGGCTTCAAGTCGGCACAGGGCTGAATAATTCAGCGCCTTCTTTACAAAGGGTGAACAATAGTCCAACGCTTTGCCCAGCGCGGGCTATTTGACGGTGATCAAGTGACTTGGATCAGCCAATACATTTCCCTCCACCTTCCCTCCACCAAATACTACTGTTTCAATAAGCAGATTCCTTGCCTCTACATTTCTATTTCTTTCGTCTCTCTCCAAATGACGTGACTTTCATGGTATTATACGTGTGCTATATGATATTGATATGCTTCTATCCATGTGTATTTCAAGCCGCTTATTTCAAACATCTCGCTGTTTAGTAAAACTAAAACTGTATCCATTAGTGTACATGGCTCAAAATCATTTATTTCTCATCACGCTATATTTGGATGGAAAAAAACTAGTATGAAATAACATATAAACCTACACCAACTTTCCATTACTTTGATGGTGTTATACTTGTACAGGACGCGTTCTGTATGAAATGTTTTTCAACTACATTTTACATGACTCGAAGATTCCGCCTCCGAACCATGTTGACACAACCCGTCTCTATTGTGATACGATGTACTTTCAACACACACCCTGCATTCATCAAAACAGGTCGCACGCTCTGTCGCTCAATTCAAAACCGGGCTGAGGGTACTGTCTGTCTGTCTATTCAGGGCAGCATGCTATACATAGCTCTATTCAGGACACTTTGCTTTTGTTTTTTTCTTGCTTAATGAAGAGTTTTCTGCACGACTGCCTTAAAACACCCACACCTTTCATTGAACTTTCCTGACCTGTGACGTGCTGTCTATATTTACCTATCAGCTATGATCACGTGACTTACATCAGCCAATCCATTTCCTTACCCTTCCCTCAACCTCCCTCAACCAAAAGGACCGTCTGCTCCCACCTACAATACTACTATTGCGCGCTTATAATTTTGTTTTTATGTTTTTTTCATAACCAGCAATGTATATTATATGTCATGAATAAGTGATAATTGTGTTTTCATTATGTTTGATTTTTTGGTTTCATGTGACCTTTACAATTTTGACAGAGTTCACTATTTGTTACGAGGGAGGAGTGCAGAGAAAGGGACATCCAGGTGTTAGAGAAGCACGTGCACAAGTGCCCACCAAGTTATTGATTCATTAGCCTGTGCTGTGCCGTCTCCATCCTTTCTCGCACACCTGGCTGTCCCTTTCTCTGCACTCCTCCCTCGTAACAAATAGTGAACTGTGTCAAAATTTTAATGATAGTTTCTTAAAGAACGTTTTTGATGGAGTCCGGAAAATTTTCAAATATAAGAAAGCTGTTGGGTATTAGTAAATGATAAACATGTGTACTATTTATATTTATGTGGCAATTTTGTACAATGATAAAATTTGCAGTTCATCGGTCCGTTTCTGACTCAAACGGACTGTAGTGAGTTATACCTCTCCCTCTCTGACATTATCAATAATCACTAAATGCAATTCTTCTGGGCCAACATTCAACTTATTACCTGGGAAGTATCAGAGTAAATTTACATTGTAACCTGATGTCAAGGCGCTGAATAAATGTTCCCTTTAACACCTATCTATTTACTGACATCACACACAGGGAATATCCCATAAACATCAACAACAAGTGATAGCAAAACGTATAAATCAATTCTATGTGTTTAAGGCAATTACTTTCCTGACACGGAACAGATTCGTTGAGTTCATAACTTGCTGAATAAAAATGGTGTAAGCCACATCCATACTAACTACTTTTATCCCTAACTTAACCTTTATCTTGTGCATTTTGTCTTCCGAACATGACCAGCCAAGGGATCGGGGATCCTTACAAGGAAATGTCAGTGAAAAGGGTACATTGATTCCAACAAATATTTGCATACCTGATAATATTGTTCTGCTGTACTTCATATCATTGAACGTTCGTCATGCTTGTGAATTTTCCTGGGTGATCAGCTGATCTCGAAGAAATTCAGTCCTAAGACATTTTCACTATGCATATTGCTTATTAATGGACATATTGAACTGATAAAATGGAAAAACAGTGGTTTTATTTACTGTATCCTGACGAATAGCAGATGACTTTCGACCGTATCACTGAGGTGGAAAATGGGTTTTTGCAGAGGTGCAACATCCGGTTACATGCACAGTCTAATACCCCATGTGAGGGAATCGCCGTAAAAACCTCAGTGCACTGCATGGATTCGAAATCTTCAAAAAGATGCATTTAAGAATCATTATCAAAATGTGATGACACGGTGATCGCGAGATGATTTTTAAGTATCGACTATGAATAATTTTCAGTCAATTGAGCTATGAATCCAAATGGCCGTGTTTGATTCTGACGTTCAACATGATCATTCTGCTTGGTCGCTCCCCTCTAACCTTTGGACTTAATGGTGCATGCGCAAACCCTCTCCCCTCTCCAAACTCCGGGATCCACCCCTACCTACTAGGGGTGGGACGGATACTCGGGTACTCGAATCCGGATCGGGTACAGCTGGAATCGAGTCCTATTTCAAGCAATCGAGTACCCGGAAAGGGAGAGAACTCTGTAATGTCAAGGGAATGTAACTCTAACCTAGAGCAAAAGTGCTAAGTTGAGTGTTTGGGCTCATTTTGAGCTTGATGCAAATGGCAGAACCAATTGGCGACTGCGTGTACCATGCTATTTATTGCAGAAACAGTACAAGTTTAATGCACAAACATCTTGCTCTAAAACACAACGTAAAACACGAAGGTGTTCATTACATTGTGTAACTCTAATTGCTTATTAAGTTAGTTCATAAAAAGCTGTTAAGACTACATTGAATGTTGTCTTTAGTTTATATTTCATTTCAATTTCATGAGACACATATTTTACTTCTGCGTCAAAGCTGAATACATTCACCATAACAGAGATTGTAATTCAATGATTGTATGTGTTGGGATTATCAATTAAAACTAATAAATTAACATAATAAAACGAACGTTTATTGAAAGAGCACATTCTGATTTGCAAATTCAATGTTCGGCTGATTATCATGACAATAAGAAGAAAGATAATCAGAAATATATAGAAGCACAACTTCCAATGAAGAACTCAATGTTCACTTTTATACAAATTTAGAATATTTAAATAACAATAGTTTTGTGCTGTTTTTGTTTATCTAAACGTAAAAATATAGCATTTAGATGCATTTCTTTGTCGCTACATTCAAACACAAGTATTTTAATGCAACTTTTAGTAACCTTCTGGAAGGATAAAACTTTAATTACGGTTAATGAGTTATTCACGGCCCTGTATTTGTGTGTACTCTGTAATGTATAATAGACACACTGTAATGCAACTGACTTGCGCAACAGAGCAAAATGACCAGTCTTCCCTCATGCGAGCGAAGCATTTTGCTATGCTGCTTAACTCAGTTGCATTACAGATTGCCGGTCTGTATATCTCGTATAGAATTTTCCAGTCAGTAAATACATTAATCACATTTCATTCTATGTAAGTTTACATAAAGTCCCCATGTAAAACATCATAGGTTCAGTTAGAATATCACATCTGACAGTAGTTCAACAACAGAATAAATTGCCTTTTTTCATTGACGTAACACACATTTAATTACATCTTTGGTATTGTCCGGTTAATGGAGGTTATTATTAACGACTGTAATATATCTGCACATGAGCAATGAGTTGTCAAGTCATAGTGGAATGTAAGTTAGTAATGGTGTTGCTCTTTGTATCAGTTAAACAGACGTAAATTAAATAGTTTAAGATCAGTTTCAATGTCTTATTGCCATCCTTTCATGTTTTCTATAAAAATCTCTGTCAAATCGTGATTGAATATTCAGAAAGTTGACAGAAGCGCTTTATTCTTGACGTTTCCGGGTACTCGATTCCGATTCGGGTAAGAACATGCGGGTACTCGATTCCATTTTTTCCTACCCGTCCCAGCCCTATCAAACACTTAAAGATGGTTATTAAAGGCCTATTTATATACATAAACGTCTCACAAACTCTTACAAACCCCCAAAGCAGCTTTTGATAATAAAATGCAGCTCGACTTCCGGGTCCTACTTTCTGTTTCGCCAAACAGCCCCATGATTATGGCCCATGCTTGTTTGTTATAATCACAGCAGTCCAGCTTAAGGAGGTATTCTAAGTATTTTCGTGATCTTAAACACTTCATACTGACCTTCATAAACAGTTACGAAGTGTCGATTTCTGAAAATACGTTGAATATTTGTTGTTCTCACGGAGACGGTCACCTGGTTGTTCGGATACTCTATCAGCGATCGCGCTTTCGTGGAACTCATGAATGCGTGACGCAAATTTCGGCCAACCTCGCCCTTTTCCGGCACTTTCCGTAACCGCACAGTCTAAAGCCGATCAGGCGGGGTCAGTGTATGGGATCGTTGTTCTGAATGAATGAATTATATGCGGTTCTAATTCGGGAGACACAGGGCGAGGTTATTACTTCAAAAACAAATAAGTTTGTTTTGTATAACATTGCAGAGAAATGTTACTTCTGTGTGGATCTGGATTGTGGGATTAACGCCACGTATAACCTGTGTGGGCAGTGACAGACAGCGGGGTCATGGGTAGTCGCGGTGAGTGTGCAGAGTTACCTCCCTTGGATACGATGGGAAGTTGGATCCCGAGGTTTATGTTTCTTGTATTGTCACTACCATATACGTGCTTCCGGCTTAAACCAAACAGGTATTCGTCATAAAGCTGAATAAAGTATTGTTTTTCTCATTTACGCTAACACGCCGTTACAAAAAGTGAAGTACAGTTAAAGGGGTCTTTGTCGGTACGGGTACTACAGATTTGTACCCCAGGTGCGTTTCTGAATACATTAAGGTACCTTAAATATAGTAAGAAGACAGAGACGTACCCGGTACCCTAAACGGAGGACGAGTCCATATGCCTAAACCCAAAACTGAAACCGGTTCATGTTATACTTCACGTTCGCTTGATTACGGTTGATGCTGTGCACCGTGAAATTACCCCACTGTGTATGCTATGTATATATATAACGCTATCGAATTCATCTCCTGTAACGGCATTGCAGTTCCGATCCAGAAAACGGTGCAATGCTTAATGGACTCGCCCAAAGTACGTTTCTGTGTTATGAATATGATAGCTTTAGTACCCATGCCAACGACGATGAGTCACACATTCATTTACTCAACAAACAAGCTGTCTGAACAGCAGGAATTTGTTTTGGGTATTTTTCGGTTGTTTGTTTAACGTGGCACTCAGCAGTATCCCAACTATATGGTGGCGGTCTGTTAATAATCCAGTCTGGACCTGACAATCCAGTGATCAACAACATGAGCATCGATCTACCCAACTGAGATACGATGACATGTGTCAATCAAGTCAGCGAGACCAGAGGCCGAAGATAGGACGACAGATTCTGATTTAGGGGGATTTGACGGCAGGCATTGTGCCCTGACCACAAACTTTTGCAATATCGCGCGCGTGCGTGCGTGCGTGCGTGTACCCGATATGGGCTTCACACATGGGGAATCGAACCCGGGTCTTTGGCAAGACTCTTTTTACCACTAGGCTACCACACATCCCCCGCAAATGACAAAGACTGCTGAGTTGACGAATGCAGAGGTTGAGATGAGTGTAGTCTGTTTATCATGGCAGCGTTGGTGAGTGAGTGAGTTGCTGCACGTGCATTTTGTATGTATATCATATAATTCGATTACCCTTGTTACGGCAGAAACGGGTAACAAAATAGAACCCAATATAAAAAACCTTTCGAGTCCATGACAAGAAACTGGTGACTGAGGGCATGAGCAAATGTCTACACCATCGGATCCACACAATCAGTTACGTCGGTCTGACCACCCAATCTCCAGCCGGCTCGGGGCGGTGGGGTAGCCTAGTGGTTAAAGCGTTGGCTCGTCACGCCGAAGACCCGGGTTCGAATCCCCACATGGGCACAATGTGTTAAGCCCATTTCTGGTGTCCCCCGCCGTGATATTGCTGGAATATTGCTAAAAGCGGCGTAAAACTAAACTCAGTCAGTCAGTCAGTCCAGCCGGCTCATGCGACAATGCGACAGTGTAGACTAACTGTGTACAGGACACTATAAAAGTACTGAATAAGATACTCTCCGTCCAAAACATACACAGTCAGGCAACATGTCTGTAAAGCGAAGGGTCCGGAATAACAAGTTCGTAAAAGTTTAAACAAGCATGTAGGAGTTGCGACCCTTTGATAGCACAACTGAGTGGCATTTGGAACTTGGTGTTAAGGACAAGGGGGATACATGTACTTACATCTGTAGATAGGCATCTATATCCACAGAACTATCCCTGTTGTTTCTTTGGCCAAACGATAGGAACCGGTTCTCGGATAGAAATATGTTATAGAAGCTCTGCCAGTTGTGGATGGGTTAAATATGTAACAATGCATTATTAACAGTGTATATAACCACTTGGACGTGTGTGTTATGCTCTTTGTGAGAGTAATGAATCAATCAACGAATGTCTTAATATCCTCCAGATAAGTGCAAGGAGTCTTATAACATCATGACTTAATAAAATAATTAAATAAAAAATTATTCATATATATTTATAAAAATATCGGAACGCTCTCCTCAATATATACAGGCTAAGTAAAGAAGTTGTCCCGGATATCCTTTAGTTTACACAACTACTTCGAGAATTCTACAATTATCACTTTGTTCCATCAATGTCCATGTTATCTGCACCCTGAGAGAATGCTAACATGTCATGCTCGTCCGTTATCTCTTTCTAAACATACATTTCAACATCAAGATTATAAGTTACCGTAGAAAAGAGCATAGCTCGGTCTGAGTGAGTGAGTGAGTTTAGGTTTACGTCGCACTCAGCAATATTCCAGCCAGATGGCGGCGATGTCGCTGTGAGAGTACATGTTGACGGAACAGAATACAGAATGACATGGTGGTGAAAGATATTATATTCCATGGTCAGCAGGAACTGTACTTGTTCTGATATAAAACAAAACCATTAAATCATTATCTAATATTTGTTTTAATCTACCTTTGACTATATTTACAATGTCCTAAATTCCTAACTTTCTAATTCGCTAAACTTCCATTACAAAATCACCCAAATGGGTACTACTGACTAACAATCTCTTGGCGTGCTACCTAATCAACGTATCGAAACGAACTGACCATAATTTCACACCATACCGCACGCGGCAAAAACGCATGTTTTTTGCATGCTCGAGAAGCTTTCCGCGAATCAAATTGTTGTAAGGTGTGTTTTCCCGAACCGTTCGCATGTACTCCAACTAAAACCTTAGACCAAGACCGGGAACAGTGCAGTGAATAAGTACAATGAATATATATAATAATGGATAAACAATTCATTTATGTAGACAATACTTTGCCCATTCCTTGTTCTTCAACACAGTTCTATGCCCCAAACGCTCTCATAGTTGTTTCTATTTATGTTCTTTTTATATTCCAAATTCGTTTTCGTTATTGTAATTTTAAACTAGTATTCAAAAACCTTCCATCTGATTATGTACACATGAGGTCATACTCAGCTAAGAATATATATGTGTGAGGTGCATGTGGAAGAAATCAGGCACATAAGATGGTATGTATGGGAAGGTTTGTGCATCATCTTATACAGCTAGCTTTCCATAAGTTTAAAATTTTAAAGAGATTATACCTCTCCTGGTCAAGGCAAAATGAGTATAAAAGCAATATATACAAAAATCTTAAAGGTTAGCACAATTGATACACTCGTAATACGCTCAATGTAATACTAGACACCTGTTTTAAACTGTCCAAACAAGATATATAAATAAAGATTACTCTGTTTCATTAGATTGATGAAATTATAAGTAAATAGTTGTCATACATGTTTACATATTACTACCATTGAAACAGTGAAGAAATCTGATAATACAAAACACTGTATACACGCAAATAAAGATACATGCACATATAATGAAATCAAACGATGCAACGGAAAAAGCTAATGTACAAATAAAGTTTTTAAAAGTCTGTTTCAACATTTGTATGTCACCATGGTTAATGTTTCTGATTAATGTTCTGATGATTTTAGATAAATGTTATGAACTACATCTGGGTACTTGGAATCATGTTTCGAACTGAATTTATTCCAAGTAAAGTAAATCTTGTTTGTTTATATATATATACATTTAAATATATGTGACATTAGATGTACCATATGAAATTAGAACAAAATTGACAGATTCATGCTATAGGTTATTGAACATCTCACATGTCCATTTTTCAAAACCACGTGGTTCCGTTACATTTCTACATCATTTCGGTAATCGCAATCTTAACAAGGAGAGGTGAACTGGGGTTTTAATGTTCCATTGAAAAGTGAACATTAAAGAGAGGAGAGGATCCCTGTCAATCATGGCGGGACCGCTGTGCACAACCGCAATTGGTGAGTGAGTGCACTTGCGTCTGTATATCAGATAATTTGATAACCCTTTTTACTAAAGAAACGGGTAGAACCCAATATCAAAATCTTTAGAGTCCATGACAAGAACCTAGTGGTTGAGAGCATGAGCAAAGATCCACACCATCGGATCCACACAATCAGTTACGACCACCCAATCCTCAGCCGGCTCATGCGACAAGCAAGCATACATACATACATACATACATACATACATACATACATACATACATACATACATACATACATACATACATACATACATACATACATACATACATACATACATACATACATACATACATACATACATACATACATACATACATACATACATACATACATACATACATACATACATACATACATACATACATACATACATACATACATACATACATACATACATACATACATACATACATACATACATACATACATACATACATACATACATACATACATACATACATACATACATACATACAATGACAACCTAAGAGACAAACTTCACTGATTCCACAAAAGCAAATTGTCGTGTCATGAAGAATAGAAGACATCATATCGTACCCTTCTTAACATTGTAAACCAAAAGTCACCGTGTTTTTTAATTTGATTTGTTGAAAAATATGATCGAATGGTATTTGATTCCCGGAAATAGCAATACACTGCGCACTGACACTATAAGTTGTATGCTTCTCTCGAGGGTAATACTTTTTGTTGTACGCCTCTTTGTAGCAGTGTTTCTCGAGCCGGTAATGGGTAATATTAAGGCTATGATATGAGCTTTTTCTTACATAAATTAATGAAATGTAGAAAGTGGACAGGCTCACTGACGGACACATGCCAATGCAATGTTTATGATGTACTACCAT